GGGGGGGGGGGCGGAGAGCCCACCTGACACGAGAGGAAAAGGAGGCCCCCGCGGCTGTGACTCGTGAACGCGGCGCGTGCCAGACCCCAGACCCACTGACCTTGCTCCTGATCCTGACACGCTGGTAGAGATACTCGGGGAAAGGCTTCCGCGGGATGAAGCGGCCCATGCCCTTGTTGACGTTGATGTTGCCGTCCTCGAAGACGATCTTGCCCTGGCTGATGACCACCAGCGGGGAGCCGTGGCACTCCATGCCCTCGAAGATGTTGTACTCCACGGCCTGCACAGCAAGAGACGTGACCGGGCCCTTCCGGCTCTCCATCCGGGCGGGGACATCCCTCAAGTCCCCACAGGGGCACCTCGCAGCCCTTGCCCTCTGAAAACCTCCTCTTTGGGGCTGTGTGGCATTCCACTCCACAGGCTTGCGCCGGCATAACCAGCCCTCGCCATGGGCGTTTAGATCGCGGGTGGCTTTGTACAACCCAACTGAAGTCTGGGGCATCACGAACGTGAACGGGGACCCCTGATGTCAGGCACTGTGGTTGCTCAGACTACAAACAAGACATTTTTGTGTCTTTTTAAAAAATGTCTCCTTGGGGCGCCTGGGTGGCTCAGTCGGTTAAGCGGCCGGCTTTGGCTCAGGTCATGATTTCGCGGTCCGTGAGTTCGAGCCCCGCATCGGGCTCTGTGCTGACAGCTCAGAGCCTGACGTGTGGCTCGAACCCACAAACTGTTGAGATCATGACCTGAGCCGAAGTCGGATGTTTATCCGACGGAACTCCCCGGGCGCCCCACGGTCACTTTTATTTTTAATTCCTTTCTCCCTTCCTTTAATTTGAAAGACAAAACGTGTTCTCAAAAATACACACCGTTTTCATAACTCCGAAAGGGAATGTAACCACCTCTAGCCGACTGCTTTTTATTATTTAAAAAGTAGGTCATTATATAGGGTGAGAGAAAACTCAAAAGGCGCAAACGATATTTGATTTTAAAAAGTAGGTCTCTTGGGGCGCCTGAGTGGCGCAGTCGGTTAAGCATCCGACTTCAGCCAGGTCACGATCTCGCGGTCCGAGAGTTCGAGCCCCGCGTCGGGCTCTGGGCTGATGGCTCAGAGCCTGGAGCCTGTTTCCGATTCTGTGTCTCCCTCTTTCTCTGCCCCTCCCCCGTTCATGCTCTGTCTCTCTCTGTCCCAAAAATAAACAAAAAACGTTGAAAAAAAAAATAAAAATAAAATAAAAAGTAGGTCTCTCTTCTACCTCCGACCGAGACATCTGCCCTAAAGAGATTCTTCTGTGTCACAGATGTTTTCTGTCTCGACACGGCAAGAGCACTCTCTGTGCAGCTGGCTTTCACCTGAATTTTTCTCTGGAGCTCAGGGACTGTTGCCTATCAGCAAAGGTACGTGCTTTAAAAATATGTTCAACACTCTTTAAACTGCTGCACCGTGTCCCCTCGCAGGGGTGTATTATCGTTTATTCATCTGATTCCCAGGGATGGAACACTGGGTTGTTTCCCTGCGTTTTGCTAAAACCCCTACTGAACCACCCTTCTGTGGGGTCCACACCGGCATGTGTGAACCTTTCCAGAGATGGAGTGTGGGGCCAAGGAGTCAATGGATTTTCACTTTGATAGATCCGTCCTCCCAAAAGGCAGCACCAGTCTCCACTCCCAACAAAACTCTGTGAGCTCGCCTGCCTCCCGCGGTCTGACCCCATCTGCGTCCCCTCAGCCGCCAGGGTCTCCGTCACTGCACAGGTCAGAAACAGCATCTTACTCTTGAGGTTTGCATTTGGTTAACTGTGGGGCTGGGTCTGTTATTAAAGACCTAGAAGTCGTCTGTGTATTTCTTCTTGCATAATTGTGTTTTTGCACAGCGTTCTATTCATTAGGCTCTTGGTATTTTTCTTACTGGTTTCTAAGGACGCTTTTTTTAAAGTTAGTTTATTTATTCTGAGAGAGAGAGAGAGAGAGAGAGAGAGCAAGCAGGGGAGGAGCAGAGAGAGAGGGAGAGAGAATCCCACGCAGGCTCTACGCTGTCAACATGGATGGGCTCTGATTCACGAACCATGAGATCATGACCTGAGCTGAAATGAAGAGTCGGGTGGTTCACCGACTGAGCCACCCAGGCAGCCCTCGGGGACACTTTTGATGTTAAGGAGTTTATCCGTTGTTTGTCCTGAGTATCATTCTGCTGTCTGTCCTCTGCCTCCTGATCTCATATAAGGTAATAATAATTATTATTTTCATGCCATACAGAGGGGGTATTTGTTTAATTTGTATACAGTCGATGCTCAAACAGGCCAATCTTCCCCTTTACACGTTCTAAGTTTTGTGTCTTGCTTAGAAAGATCTTCTCCCCTTCCCAACTATCATTTTTACTTAGTTTGCTCTAATTTATTTATTTTTCAAAACTACCACTTAAAAAAAATTTTTTTAAGGTTTGTTTTTGAGAGAGAGAGAGAGAGACAGAGTGAGTGAGTGTGGGGGAGGGGCAGAGAGGGAGACAGAATCCGAAGCAGGCTCCAGGCTCTGAGTTGTCAGCACAGAGCCCGACGTGGGACTCAAACTTGCAAACCACGAGATCAAGACCTGAGCTGAAGTTCGACGTTTGAGCCACCTAGGCGCCCCCAAACCATCATTTTTAAAACAACATGCTTTATTATAGACCCTTGATAACTTTCACTTCAACCTCCGATCCCTCCTGAGTGTGTTTTGAGATAAGGAGCACAGAGAAGTCTGGCCTTACAGGCCGGCTATTGAGACCCACAGGCCAATGAGCACCGCTGTCCGGCTAATCCGAATTGCCTCCTGCATCGGACACCAAATCCTTCTGTGCGGCTGGTCTGCCGCCTGGCTGTCTCCTCTGTCGGGCCAACAGCAAACCGCCCCCCACGCCTGCAACGGTACGACCCGTGTTAATAACAGGGATGAGCAGGCCTTGTCCCTCAGCTTCCCACAACTGTTTACCTACTCTCACATTTAGGACCTAAGACCTCTGCTTTTCTAGCTCAAAAACTATTCCCTTGAATGTTCTGATGGGATTACTTCGAATGCAGAGATTAAATTCGCAAGAATTGGTATGCTCCGTCTAATGATTCGTTTTAGCCTAAAAGAACTTGTATTTATGTAAGTCTTTAGTTTTTATTGTTATTAGAAACAGGATTTTGATTTTCATTCCTTTATTCCTTTATGTTTATTTATTTGAGAGAGAGATACAGAGCAAGCAGGGAAGGGGCAGAGAGAGAAGGAGAGAGGGAGAATCCCAAGAAGCAGGCTCCGCACCGTGATTGCAGAGCCTGATGCGGGGCTCGAACTCACGAACTGGGAGATGAGGACCTGAGCCAAAACCAAGAGTTTGCCGACTGAGCCACTCAGGTGCCCCCCTCTCCATTCCATTTTTTAAAGTGCTTTTGAATTACTTCATAGAAAAGCTAACGATTCTTTATATTGACTTGTAATCAGCCAAAGGATTCTCTTATCATTTCCGATGGGTTTTAGGAGCACGCTCAGGGTTTCGGGGAGACAGAGCCACACACAGCTGCTAATACTGAGCCTCACCCTCGGTTTGCGGCTGCCTCCCAGGACCCGGGCAGACGGGCTGCTCTCCGTGGTAACATTTGCATCTAAGCCTTCGCGAGTCACCCTGCGGCGACCAGCCGTGTGGTGCCTCACAGTCTTGCTGAAGCCCAAATGAGCGCGTCCAACCAAAAGACACGGAGGAAGCAAGCACTTCCCTACCAGTCGAAGCCGGCCGGCCTCTCAGCTCACTCGGCCCTGCATGGCCCACTATTCCTCGGAGGGGAAGGACATGACGTGCGCCATGTGACAACTCCTCACGGATTCCACGTGGCGCCAGGTTCTAGGTCTCGCAACCACAGAGAGTTTCAAAAGCTGTTTCGTTTCCCAAAGGTGACAGGTGAACGATCTAATACTCCAAACGAGTACAAAGGACCACAGTGAAAACACACAACCATTGTTTTCCATCTGTGAGCCCCGGGTCCGTAGACCCCACCCCAGGGGGCAGTTCCTGCTCCTCGGTCCCTCTGTGTCCTGTAAAAGACAGCCTGACACTGACGAACGGAGAGCAGGGCATATGCTTAGGTCCTCGAAGAGATGAGTAATGTGCTCTCTCCGGGCGAGGGAATGTTCTGCAGCCATGAAAAGGAACCAAGTATTGATATAGACCACAGCATAGACAAGCCTCAAAAACATGAAGCTAAAGTGAAAGAAGACGGACAGAACAGGCCACATATGGTATGATTCTTTTTCTATGGTATGTCCAGTGTGAGGATAGAGATTCTACTTACATAAATGGGTTGGAAGAAAGCTTAGCACGGAAAACTGCCACAGGGTGAAAACACCCGAGGTTAGCTAGCGAGAACCACCCACCCCAGGTTAGCTAGCAAGATATTGTAATGGGATCATGAGTAACTTGTTATCTCACCTGCAGGAAGTTACTTTCCATCCAGCGCCAATGCACCTTGATCACAAACTCCACTTGCCCGCCAGACCCTTTGGTTCTTACACACACAAGTTGATGAGTACTGTCTGATTGTTTTCTCCATGTTCACGTGTGTGAGATCTTTCTTCACACTCACCATGTGGGTAATATCTTGTGAGCTCAATAAATACGGAGACAAAACCCCTGTTTGGGGTCTTGTCTCCTCCCAGATATTAGCCTCTCTCGTATTCAATTCTGCGTCTGCTCTCTTGCTGGACAAGAGAGCACTCCAGACTCATAGTCTGCGACAGTCCAGAAAGGCACATCCGACAAGAAAGAGATTCCTGGCTGACAGAGACTGTGAGAGGGGAGATGGGAAGTGCCTGCTAGTGGGTCTGGGGTTTCTTTCTGGGGAGGATGGGGAATCTTCTGAATAGAACAACTGCTGCATTAGGGGCGCCTGGATGGCTCAGTCAGTTAACTGTCCCACTCTTGATTTCGGCTCAGGTCATGATCTCACAGTTCGTGGGTTCAAGCCCCACATCGGGCTCTCTCTCTCTCCCTCTCTCTCTCTGCCCCTCCCCTGCTCATTCTCTCTCTCTCTCTCTCTCAAAAGTAAACAAATACACATGTTTTTTAAAAACCACTGCATGGTACATTTTTAAATGATGAAATCGTGGTAAGTGAATTACATCTCAATGTGAAGAGTTAAAAAAACTAACTGGTCTATGGATACACAAACAGGTAGATACACAAACAGATACACCTGTGGTGTGGCACTTTGAAGCAAATGCTTTTTCACTACGAGGAAAGAAGCTGCATTCTTTTTACAGAAGAGTAGACTTCAAACATTAATCACTGATCAACATATAACATGATCCCTTTTTAATTCTTAAAAGTAGTATTTTTTTTAATGTTTATTTATTTTTGAGACAGAGAGAGACAGGGCATGAATGGGGGAGGGTCAGAGAGAGGGAGACATAGAATCTGAAACAGGCTCCAGGCTCTGAGCTGTCAGCACAGAGCCCGACGTGGGGCTCGAACTCACGACCTGAGCTGAGGTCGGACACTTAACAGACTGAGCCACACAGGCGCCCCAGTAGTATTTTTTTAAACTTAAGAAAGCCAAAAAAAAACATCTAACAAGGCAGTTTTCCAATCCATGGTCTGAAAAAAAAACATTGGTGTCCCACACTGTGTGAATGGCCCTACTTTTGCACAGAGACAATGCAACAGACAAAAATCTTACAGCATCCTGAGTAGTCCTCCTCTTTCTATGACAAGAATTCAAACCTGGCCTGGCATGGGGGGAGGATGCTTCCCCAAGATTAACCTAAAACAGTCACTTCCCTTATGGGTGACCTCCGGCACATGACTTATTATGGGTTGGATCATGTCCCCCTAAAGATATGCTTTAGTCCAAACCCCCAGCACCTCAGAACATGACCTTATTTGGAAATAGGGTCTTTGCACATGGGATTCGTTACAATGAGGTCACACTGGAGGAGGCGGGCCCTGATCCAATGGCTGGTGTCCTTAGAGGAAGACGGTAAGACGCAGGGAGACGCCAGAGATCGTAGGGACCCATCCACAAGCCAAGGGATGGCAAGGATGCCCAGTGACATCAGAAGCCAGGACAGAGGCACAGGACAGGTTCTCCCCCAGACCTTCAAGGGAGCACAGCCCCGCAGACATCTTGATTCAAGACCATGGCTTCCGGAATGGTAAGAGAACACATTTCTGTTTGAAGCCACTAGTTTGTGATGCTTTGTTACAGCAGCTACGGGAACTCATACACGTATCCTCTCTCCATCCACTTCTGTATTTATTAATCCCGGCCTACCTGAGATGACCACTAAGTCATTTAAGTACGGGTCATTAAGTGACAGGACACATGGGAAATGCTAGGCACAAAGTAACTACAAGATCGTATCTGGCTGGACTGTGACAGTAATTGGAAACCCTGCTCCTGAGCACGGAGCCTGCACATCCACTGAACACGCACTGAAATAATGAAAAATGAGAGGTCTGCACCTGTGCAGCTCAGCCTCCTTCCCACCTGTCCGTGTCCCTGCTGGGCCCCCAGCAGGAGGGCTTGAACAATTAGTGATCTGGGCTTCATCTTCTGCTGGACCTTGACCATCGTGTGGGCTTAGGGGCGGCCCCAGCCAGCGGGTGGCAGGGTGGTGCACACCCTCTCACCCGCAAGACCTTCTCAAATGTTCTCTTGATGTGACACCTTCCTGACACCATGGGGAACGTGTGCCTGTCCCGCGTTACCAGACCCCACCGTGCACACACACATCACTGCGTTCACAGTGATTAAAATGGGATTGTGTGCCTGCTAGGTGGTAAGCGTGAAGAATGGGGTATGCTTCTCTCCGGGGGGGCGACCTCAGGCTTGTTTCCCCCTGACCCTGTCCCCGGGAATGGGGGGGGGGGGTGAGGGAAGCCAGCGTGTCACTAGGAAGCACTGGTTATTTGTGGGGAATAAGTTTAGGAATTTCCGGAGCCTGCACTGATGGGCTAACAAGGCATAAAGAATTAGAAACCCATTGGATGTACACACCCAAGTTTGGGTAAACAAGATTTGGTAAATAAGAATAGGTAAAGTGGGGCGAAAGTCCCAGTATAGGACAAAGGTATAGGAATAGGGGAATCTCAGGATGAAAACAGCCAAGACGGTAAGCAAGATTAAGTATTCAGGGCAGAAGCAACCCCCCCTCCCAACTGAGTACTATAGCAGAAAGCTGCTTTCACAGGAAGGAAGGACCAAATTAGGTAAATAGGGCTACAGATCGCTGCAGGGCGAAGTTGCCCAAAGTAGAGCTAATTGGCAAAAGAAAGGTGCCTTGTTGACCCTGAGGTGGCATGCTCTGTCTTTCTTGTCCCCAGACCAGTTTAGGTAAACAGAGGCAGGGTCTCACGTCTGCTGTAAACTGCCTTCCACCCAGCACCAGGATTTTGTTTTGTGTTAACCCAAACCCCTAACGCTGCGTATCTTGAAAACCCCCTTGCCCTCACGACCACGAGTTAATGTTTACGATTTCATTGTCTCTTTGTGCACACCCAACAGCACGTTTGTAAGCCTTCTGATCCTAATAAAAATGGAACAAGGGCCCTTACTCAGGGCTCTTGGCTCTTGTCTTTTCCTGGACATTAGTCTCTCTCACATTTTTAATGCTGCATCCCACTTTCTTCCTGGACAAGAAAGAACTCCAGACCCAGAGTCTACGACAGTTATTGTAAGCATGACTGCCTGTTGGGGACAGTCATGGATGGTCATGGACTGGACAAGACCTCTATGGCCCCAGGCCATGACCCCTGCGGCCAAGCAGGGTTCCAGGGCCCAAGCTCACGGACTGCTAAAAATGATTCTTGTCACTTTCTTATGAGATTTCCTTATGCCTGGGGTCCTGTCCTCATGCATGTGGCCTCACCTCTACCAGCAGGTAACCCCCGGGAGGCTGGGAATCTGCCTCTGTGTGGCAGTGAGGACCCTGTCACAGGGGGATACAGCATGCACACACCCTGCCTCCTGGCCCATGTCCTGTAGCAGACTTAGCGGGCCGGAGGCCAGGCTGTGGCCTCCTGCGTCTTGTGAGCGTGGACGTTAATCTGGACCCAAGATCACTGCTGGCCTCACAGAGTGGCCTTGCAGCAAGCAGTGAGGGAGGGGAAGAGGTTTTAAGTCTCTCTGCATCCTTAGGTTTGCTGGCTGAGTAAAGAAGTCAAGGGCATGTAAGATACAAAGTGCAGAGATAACCCACAGCCGTAGGCTTGGGGCCTGGAGCTTGGGAGAGCGTGCACGCGTGGGGGTGTGTTCACACACGGCAGACTTTAGGTCCAAACCTTTCCTTTGTGGACTGTTAGCAGTGACCACAAAATGAAGTAGGAGGTTTCTGAGATAGGAGATCAAACCCTTCCTAGCTTGATAATGAAATTGGAAAAAGAATCTTGGACCTAATACTTCTCCTCTGAGCCTGAGAATGCATGCGTCTAGGGCACGGGCCACCGAGAGAGAAAGACAGACACAGAATCAGAGAGAGGTGGAGAGAAAACACATCTAATAGAATGGCAGCAGCTTAGTCGAGCCTGATCAAACTCAGTCTCTCCAACTGGAAGAGAAATGTGAACGAGTCATGCCGATGATCAGATAGCATCCTTGTTGAAAACTTCACATATCATTTTTAACCGAGACTGCTAAAGTGGCTGCAAAGGAAGAATCACTTACCCAAACTGGAAAGGTCTCAGATGAGCCAGGACTTACCGACTTGTGACTCTTGGCTGTTATGGTCTTCACCTTGTCGGGGTCCCAGATGACCACATCAGCGTCTGAGCCCACGGCAATCCGCCCTTTCCTGGGGTACAGGTTAAAGATCTTGGCTGCGTTGGTGCTGGTGATGGCAACAAACTGGTTCTCATCCATTTTGCCAGTAGCCTAAAGGCAAGATCCATTCATGAGAAGAATGCCCCGTAACAGGGCCAGGGGAAGGGCAGACAGGCAAAAATATGGAACTGCCGACAGCAGTCCCCAGCAGAAGTCTGAAATTTTCTCCTCCCCTGCCGAAAACCGGCCATCCTGAAAGAGCCCAAGGGCGTGGCCCCATCAGAGTGGAAATGTAATTGACTGCTCAAGGGTATGTTGTTGGCATTTGCTCAACAGCCACTGTGCCATCTTGTCGGTCTCATTGGGTCCAAGTTTAATAGAAAATAAAAATTTGGGGTTTCAAGTCAGGGAACAGGGGCTGACTTGTGCAACAAGCACTCTCTCTACCCACTGTCAACCCCAGACACAAACACACGGTTTACAAAACCATCTTCACAGGAACTGAGATGTGGTCAAAACAAAGCTAAAGAAAACATTTTGCATCCTTAAAGAGTAAAGGGCAGCTGTCACGTCTGCAAATACAGAGGACCCCATGGGACCTGTGCTGCTCTCTGAAGAGTCACGCAGTTCTTTGTGTGCTCTCCTGGTATATTCTGCTTCTGCCCCAAAGCAAGGAAGGGAGCTTTAAGAGCCAGCAGGGCACAATGCCCTAGCTTTTGATGGGCCAGGAAGGGTGCTTCTAGAATGTTCCTGGGGAAAGGAACCTCCCCGGGGGGTTCCTTACCACTGCCTTGTCCCAGACGACGGTCATCCGCTCCTCTATACCGTTGACGCCCTCAGGGATCAGAGTGAAGTTATCCTTGCCCACCGCCTTCTGGGCAGTGCTATAGGGACAGTGGCCACTGCCTGTGACCTGCAGGTCTCCACTGCAAGGACAAAAACAAGGTGGGGGTCAGACCTGAGTTCAGGTTGAATTTCAGGCACCCATTGCAGGCTGTGAAACGAAAACCCCCAGAGATTCTAAGGAGAGGATTTGGGGCACATCCCAGGAATTGGTGAGTGACATCAGAAGGCCCTCTGGGGGCCATGTATCTTGTTGGGAGAAGGTTCGGTCAGTGTGGGCTTCAGGCTCTCCGGGTAGGGCTCTCTAGGTGGCCTTCCTCTTCCTCACCTGGACGAGTGGGCATCCACCCAAAAGAGGTGCCAGGCAGGGTTCAGGAGGGAGCGAGGCCAGATCAGCCTCGGCCTTGGGGGACATTGTGGGACTTGGATTCCATGTTGACAGAAGAGGACCCTGGGAGTCTCCAGGCAGAGGAGTGGTTTGGTCTGAGTTGGGTTTTAAAATCTGGGTGCTGGTTGGGAATAGACTGTGATGTGCTGGGGGTGTGGAAGGGGCAGCACAGAAACAGGGGCCTGTTGGAGATGAGCCAGGATGGCCACAGCCAATGGGTGAGAAGTGGTCAGATCCCGGGGCCTCTGGGGCCCTGTGTCCTGCCATCTTCAGAGATGGGCAAGACTGTGGGAGCATTCGCTTTGTGGGGGATGACGGGGAGTCCATTTGGACTTGGAGCTGCCCGCCAGACAGCAGGCTGCAGATGATGAGTAAGCCCGTGGATATGCGAGTCAAGGGTTTTTGCATCATTTGGGAGAGACTTCCATGACAGGCACACACCCTCACCCCCTTGGGGCCCCTCCTGACCAGAAGCCCTGGTTTATCCCCTATCTGGCAAACTCCTACTCCCCCTCTAGCTCCAGGCCCGATGTCACCTTGCCCAAGAAGCCTTCTGCAAGTCTCCTGGTTGTGAGCACGTATCTCTACTCCCAGAGCAGCCTGGGTACCTCACCACTTACCCTTCTCTACGGCCTGTGTTCTTCCCTCATGCTGGCCAATAGCAGGGAAGGGACAAAAGTGGCTGTGCTCCTACTGTGTGCACGTGGCCAGGAGGTGCTTTGCAAATAATAGGAGCCACTTAGTGAACCCTACATCCCAGGCCATTTTCCTACACTGCATCATACCCAGCTCTGCAATAGATACTATGTTCCCCCCCACGTTGCCAATGAGGAAACCGAGGCAGAAAGCCATTCCAGGTTATGTGACAAGCCCAAGGTGAATCCTGGACTCTCATTCCTAATCCTGAGTGCTTCCCGATAGACCTCAGTATACCCAATATACCCCCCACCCCCTGGGCTCTCACCAGGCCAGCAGGGAGGTCAAGTAGTCAGGTGTCGTGGGGTCCGGGCTCAGAGGAGGAGAGGTCACGAATGCCGCTGCCTTGGCCCAGTTCTTGCTCCAGTAGTGGGTGCCATCGGTCCCCAGGCTGGCAGCGATGGGCTCGCCAAACACGAGGGGACCTTTGGAGACAGACACGAACACACATGGTTAAGGGCAGATGGTCTTGTGTGGGATGCTGGTGTAATAGAAGTGGAGGGTCTCAGAGACGGGAAAAGGAGGCTCTGAGGGGCAACATGTTGTCTGTCCTTCTTCCTGGCTTCACCACGCAGCCCAGTGACCCCCGGCTGCCCAGGTACTCACTCAGCACCTGCTGACCCACCCAGCAACTTCCCGAACTAGTCGTGCTTTTAATATTTGGATATGACCATTATCCCCGTTGGCAGATTTGTCCCTCGAGGCACAGGGACGGGATTTGCTCTCCCAGTATGGATTCTTCCAGAAGCAGATCTTCAAATGAAGGAGGCAAGTTCAAGTGTTTTATTTGGGAGGTGATTCCAGGCAGCACTGGCTAGAGATTGAGGAAGTGACATAAGGCAGAGAAAGACGTCAGGAACACGTGAGTTGTCACCAAGTCACGGCCATGGGCACCTGCAGCTCGGTGCCGCGGGGGCCTCTGGGATACTGACGGCTGTTGGCACCTCAGGGCTGTCCCACCCCCAGGGTGTGGGAGCTGAGCTGTGTGTCCACCCCCCCCACCACTTGAGAGCTGCTTCCAGAACATTCACTTTCCAGAAATTCCAGCCTGCCTTCTGGGGAGCAGGCCAGATGTGCTTCTGCCACAACAAAGCCCATAGGCACGGCTGCAGGTCTGCTCACGGAGACAGATGCTGCTGGGATGTGGGCCAGTAACACCACCGAATTTGCTCAGAGCCACGCTGCTGGCCTGGTGGGGTGGCAGGCTTTGAGCTCCAGCGGTCTGGCATGTCCAAGAGCATATTCTACAGTGATGGGAAGGTTCTACATCTGTGCCGCCCAGGACAGCAGCCGCTAGCCCCGCGTGGCTTCTGAGCATGTGAAATGTGGCTATCACAACCAAGGAACGCATTTAAAATTGTATTTAATTCTACTTAATTTAAATTGCCACAGCCATGCGTGACTGGAGGTCACCACATCTCTCCATGCAGCTCTAGGACCGCTTCCAGATTCCTGTTACTCTCTGAGCCTCAGTTTCCTTATCCTTAAAATGGAGCCAGTCCTAAGCAAGCTGTGTCATACTAGAGCACCCTCTTTGAATGCCTCTGCTTGTCAGCTTTCCCTTAACGACACTAAAACCAGGCTATGATGGGTTCAAAGGTGCTCTGTCCAATATGGTGGCCACCACGTGGTTGTCAAGCACTTGCCAGTGGGGTTGGTCTGAACTGAGATGTGCTGTAACAGCGACAGACACACTGGACTTCAAAGACAGCACAGAAAAAAATAAGACAGATAGATCATTAAGATCTTTTCATATAATTATGTGTTGAAAGAATATGTTGGATATATTAAGTTAAAATACAGTACTGAAGATTTTTCTTAAATACAGTTGGTAGTACTTCCCACTCGGGGCTCCTATGAGAAGTAAGGAATATAATGTACACAGTGGATGTTCCATTACAGTTGTTGTGTTGTTGATTTCCACCTGGCCCTCCCCACGGACCCACAACTCCCCGGTCGGCCTCACATGAAGCAGCGGGAACGGGCGGACCTCGTCCCGGTGGCGAATGTCCCTGGCGAATGTCCTCCACGACAAAAGGGTTCCGGCCACTGTCTCTGTGCAATGGGCACTAGCCCTCATCTGTCCATCTGTCTGTCATTCTCTCTCCCCAAGTTTGGATAGGCAGATGTTCTGGGCACCCTTCTTCCTTCTTGGTCTGGTGACTGCTGGAAACTGTTGGACCTCACTCTCGAGAAGGCCTGGGGACGGTACGCGGGCCCTTGCTCTGAGTCTCCTGTGGTTAGAACGCACCCACTGCGGCCTTCACCCGATGGTCCCCAGCGCGGCAGGCGGCCTGATACTGGGGCCCCACTCGGGAGGTGAGGATACCAAGGCAGGAAGTGAATGGCCAACAAGGAGCTGAGAACGGCATCAACCAACACCTATGGAGCCCTGGGGACCCGCCACGGGCTTCCAGTCTATGAGCCCCTGGGGCCATTCAGAGACAAGGCAGCGGACGCTCAAAGCAGTCATGTAGCACGTCCGTCTTTGAGCTGGGCAGCTGGCTTCCTGGACCACCTGATGTCCAACACAGACCCTCTGGCTCTGGAAAACTTTCTTCTTCCTTCCCAACCCGCAGCCGAGACTCTGTGGGCCCCACGACTGACCCTGGATGCAGACACTGACCATGGGGCCCTAGACAGGGGACTCAGGATGAAGGGCCGGAGGGGACCAGAAAGACAGTGGGCAGGATCCCACAGCTGACGCAGCCCGGCCCCATCACTGACTCGAGGTGCCATCCAGGACGGAGCTGGAACAATGCAGAGCTCATTATCTGATCCCACAAGGTGGGATAATAACCTGCCTGAGGCTTAGACTGCTGGCAGGGTGTCTCTGGGCAGTGGCCCCACCAGTGAACTTGACCCCACTGGACGACCCCCTTCCTTATGGCCCAGCTGCCCCGCAGGAGGCCCAGGCATTGGGCTGCGTACCTTTCTTCCTGGCCAGAGTGATGATGTCCGCTGCACTCTTGCTCATGACCTTCGTGATGTACACCGGGCAATTGATCCGGCCAGCGATGGTGATGGCCCGAAACACAGCCTCGGCCTCTAGCTGAGGACACGGCAATACACGGGTCACAGGAGGGAGGGAGAGAGGCAGTATGACCCCCCCCCCAAGTCCCAAGGGCTCTCCCTGAATCAGAGCCCTTCAGTGTTCTTCAATTAAGTGTGGCCAGAGGCAAATCTACCACATCAAAGGAGAAGAACACTAGATTTCTAAAAAGAAAAGAAATATCGAGTCAAAACGTATTTGGTTAGAGGGCTGGGAGACAGGATTGTGTCATTATGCTTGCTTGGAAGTATGCTGCAGGTTCTGTTAGAAGGGAACAGACCAGGCAGAATAAAGCATCAAAAAGCCCATAAAAAACCACCTTGCCCTCCTGTAGACCAGTGCGTCTTGAATAAAAGGACCAGATACGTTTTGAACGGCTTTGTTTTTAATTTCCAGTCTGCTGATGCCCCAAACGTGGTCCCACCCATGCACACCCAAGAGGGTCCCCACCCTGCTCTCCCGGCTGGACCCACTGGTCACATGCCTAGATGTGGAGTCAAGTCCATGTGCTATAAATGTTTATAAACACAGTCTCCCTGATCTCACCAGGGACCAGGAACACAGCTCGTGGGGCACGGGGCTCGGGTGCAGAGTACTGTCCTAGACCAAGAGCCCCTCGGGGTAAAACGTCTTTCTACTCGGGTATTTGTGTCCCCAGGATTGGGCACAAGGCCAGGCCCTCAGCAGACACACACACACACACACACACACACACACACACACAAACTGCCTGCCATGGAAACTCATCCATGCTGGAGTCTTAGAACACAGTGGGCAATGTCCAAGAGAAGCTGGTAGGTTCCAGGTCGCAAACATGCGGCTCCACTTTCTATCACCAGAGACACAGATCCTC